ATGCCATTTATGAATATTTATTGTTTATAATTTAAAATTTAACCAACCCTCTTATATATTAACTGTAATATTTATTTGGTCATTATTATTATTAAAAGACTTATCATTACCATTTATCGCTAAAATTCAAAACATTTAACAGCCGTACTTTTTTATTACCTAAATATTTTGTGTAACATCCTGACAATTTTTGGACCGTTAAATAAGATACATAAATGTTTATTTTAAAAAATTGTTAATTAATATTTCATAAACACAACCAATTGCCCCACTAAGGGTTTATTAATGTCATAATAATTACAATTTTCGTTATTACAAAAACAAATCGCTGAAAATTAAAGTTGACTTTAAATGAATAAATTTAAATCTAATATTATTTAAATTAAATGGAAAAATTATTAATAAATAAAATTAACATACATAATATGTATGAGTCTATTAGTAAATTAAAATGTAAATTGTCAAGTGTTAATTAATGTTTTCTGTCACAATAATTTACATTATCCTAAGTGAAAATCGTTGTCTAGCAAATTAGTTAAAGTGAAAAATTGCTTTATTGCCATTTTGACACTCGATTAAATGGGAATAGACCATCAGTTTTATCAGGTACGCATTGCACAAGATATTTTTTAATCGTTAAAATTTTACGACCATACTTTACAGTTAATTAAAATTGCTTTGATATGTCTTAAATTTAAATTGCCTTATGTTATGTATATGAAGTTTTACTGTTTAAGTAGTTTATTATATTCTAAAAGTTTTTATTATAATTTAATAATAAAATAAGATATTATAATAATACTTTTCTATTCTATATATATATATATCTTAGAGTATACAATAAATGGATATAACCTTAAAGCATATACTACATGGATACGTTATAAAGTATTGTATTAGATTTTAAGCAACTGTTATTATGGAATAAATCTCGATTATTAATTTTTTATGTTGGGAAAACATTCAGATAACGATCTGAGATGTTAATAATTAATATTAATGGCAAAACGTTCATTAAAAAAAATCAACAATTGCTCTCCTAATTAATATTTGTTTCGTAACGTAAAATCTCGTTTTATCAATTAGAATCAATTAATTATGATCTTTATCTGATATAACGAGCGTAATGAGCAAATTATGTTTGTGGGATAATATAAAAATAAATTCTTTCTAAATGTATCTATTACTTAAGTTTGTTTAGGTAGCAAAAATACAAAATGTGTAAAAACATAAAATATTATCTAGTTTTTCCCAATTAAATTTTTTTTTCAAGTATACAATAATTTTTATGCACGATGACATTATAATATGACAATTATAACAAAAATTCTTTGACGTAAACGTCTTTTTATAGCCCGCGGGCGTTATTATGACCCAGCGGGCTATAATGAAACTTCAAAAATTAAAAACAACAATTTTACACCATTTGATATATTCGAAGTAAGTTTTTTCGTATAATGATTTTGATTTTTCCGGCAGCAGACCGCAAATTTTCGCCTTTTCAGCTGCTTCCTCAATTTCATTCATCTTTAAACTTTAAAACTAACTGATGTCAGTTGACATTATAATATGACAATTATAACAAAAATTCTTTGACGTAAACGTCTTTAAAAACAATAATATATTAAAAATAATAATATATTAATCGTGCATAAAGTTTTGTATGCATTGCTGGCATAACTGGTTTTTATGGTCCTACGACGCTTTTCTAGCCCTCGCGCTAACGCGCTCGGGCTCGAAATAGCGCCTCGGACCATAAAAACCTTATTATGCCCTTAATACATAAATAACCATTATCTACTCCTACATTGACGAGCTGTTACTTTATGGCGTTTTATTGACGGGCTGAAGTTAACAACAGTGGCTTTTCGACATTTTACGTCACGAAGTTAGCTTTATTATAAATTGGGAAAAAGTGAGGTTAAATTTGGGTGACAGTTGACAGATGTCAAAATTTTAACAAATAAAATTGGCTTTAAATTCTGTTTTGTGTTCGTCGTAGATAATGTATAGTATGCAACTCGTTTATAAACTACTCTAGACACTCGTTTTTATTAAACACTCGCTCGCAAGCTTCGCTCATGCTTAATTAAACTCGTAACTAAAATGGCGTTTATAAAACTTGATACATAATATACTATTATATTATAAGATTCATAAGTCTATATAGAAAGTCCTTTTATTAATACTAGTTCAAAATTCAAATTATGAATAAACTCCCTGCAGAAATAAAGCTAAAGTGCGAGCTAAAATGTTATCATTTTCAGTTGAACCTAACCTAAAAATGATGTGACAGAATCTTAAAATAGTTTATTATATATTATTATGTATAATTGCCATTTTCGTTACGGCACGAGCAACGCTTGTAAGCAAGTGTTTAATTAAAATGAGTGTCTAGAAAGATTTATAAAACTAGTTGCATACTATACGTTATCTACGACGAACACAAAGAAGAATTTAAAGCCTACTTTATTTGTTAAACATTTGGCTTATGTCAAATGTCAACGGATTTAACCGACTAAAATGCCCAAAAGCCACTATTGCTAACTTTAGCCCGTGACTAAAACGCCATAAAGTCACAGCTCGTCAATATAGGAGTAGTTAATAGTATATTATGTATTAAGTTTGATAAACGCCATTTTATACACGAATTTAATTTGGGCACAAGCGAGCTTGCGAGCAAGTGCTTAAGTTAATGAGTGTATAGAAAAGTTTATAAACGAGGTGCATACTATACCTACTTTTTTTACAAAAAATACTTATTATTATCTTAAAATGATTTAAATCCAAAATTTGTCTAGAGCGCCATCTATGAAACAACAGGGGAAACTGTCAAATGTCATATTTTTACATTTTATAAACACAATTATAAAGGTTATAAATCGAAATGTATCTTGAAAATTGACAGTTTTTCACAGTGAAAGTAAAGGAAATGTTTTATGAGGACTTTACAGTAGAGTCCGTGCCCGAATTTATAGTATAGTTAACTGCCGGCGAAATTAAAAGGTCAGTACAATGTTCATATAAACGTTTCAAAAATTGGCGTTGAGAAACTATTTAATATTTTTGTATTTTTGTATAGAGATAATAAAATAATTTTCACATTTAGTATTATTTTACAAGAAATGCACTTTATTTGACAACTGTCAACTAACTTAAAACTAACTTCAGCCCGTGACTAAAAACCTGTTGCTAACTTCAGCACGTGACTAAAGCGCCGTAAAGCCACAACTTGTCAATGTGTATTTAAAAGGTCACTTAGTGTCATGGAAACATGTACGATTAAGGGCGTTTTAAACGTGGGAGTAGAAAATAGTATATTATGTATCAAGTTTTATAAACGCCATTTTAGTTACGAGCGAAGCTTTCTAGCGAGTGTTTAATAAAAACGAGTGTCTAGAGAATTTAAAGCCAATTTTAATTGTTAAAATTTTGACATCTGTCAACTGTCACCCGAATTTAACCTCACTTTTTCCCAATTTATAATAAAGCTAACTTCAGCCCGTGACGTAAAATATCGAAAAGCCACTGTTGTTAACTTCAGCCCGTCAATAAAACGCCATAAAGTCACAGCTCGTCAATGTAGGAGTAGATAAAATAATTTAATTAAATGCTTGAAAAAAATAGTATATAAAACTCGGCAGCGAAAGCTTATTGAGATAGTTAGCTATAGTTAGCTCTATAATATACTATATTATCATATAGGTATACTAATCTGCTCTCTTTTTTCCATACTCTTGTAGCCCAATTTTAAGACACTATTTGTACTTCCCTTATTACGAAATATGACCATTGTAACATAAATTTTTAATGTGGAATTACATATATTCCTTAAAGTGTTAAAGAATCACCGGATGACGGAATATACACTGGTGGCGCCATCTCTATCTAACAACTTTTAGACTGATCCAACCCTCTCCCAATTAAATTATTTTTCTCTGGTACATAATGGAAACGTAGAAAAAGTATAGTCTGAAACACATATGAAATTGCATATTCCGCTCTCGGGAAACCGTCAAACTCGCTTTCGGCTCGGGTGATAAACAGAATATACTATTTAACAAATTTAGAGTAAAATGTTATGTTGTATTTGGTGACAAAAATGTGTCATAGTCATAAAATTTTTTATTGAAGAAGCCTAAGTCTACATATAAAACATATTAATAATAATATTATATTAGTATTATACAGGGTGTCTCAAACTGATTAAGCCAGGCTCTAGTTCCTAGACCGTTTGAAAATTTTTAGTGGAACAAAATCTATATTGTTTAGCTATTAAATAATAGGGAATTTTTTTTACAAAAAGTTACCCCTAAAAATTTAGCCTGTCATCCTAAGATTTTAAATAATGTCCTGTATATTTTATTAATTTTTTTTGCAGGATTCACAAGTATCTATTTAACACCTTGTTTTGATTCAAAATCGGTTAATATTAATTAAAAAAATAAACATTTTATCTTTCCATTGAGATGGCCATGAATTAAGGTTTTTTTCACTAAACAAGATTTTTAACTGAAATATTTTAATTGATTTACGAACTAGAGCCTGGCTAAATGATTTTAACCCTGTATACAAGATATTTAAATTATTATGTTTTTTAAATATTTTTAAATTTTATTAAAATGTTTTTAATAGTTTTTTCATACCAATGGAAAATGTTTGGCTTTATAGCTACTTTTTTTCGATCTGTCCCAATTTGGCCATTCGAGATTTAAACAATCTGACCAGATATGGATGATATTTTTTAATTTTCTTTATTTTATTCAAAAGAAACAATTGACCTTTAGGTTTATAAATTAAATTGTTTTTAAAAATTATATTTGCACATATTAATGCAAATTAAAAAAGCAAGCACCAACTAATTAGTGCAAATTTGTTGGTACCTTGTACTTTAATTAGTTTTGACTGAACTACCAGTAAATTTCTTAAAAACAACGTTCTTATTAAAAACATTTATAAAAAGGTGCCATAAACGTTGTGTGGAACATGTTACAATTTTTTTAATCATCAATTAACAATAAAAACGAATCTCTCTTACCTGAGCTTGGTCGGTCACTATACCTAGTGCAATACACCCAAGCCGGCCACAACATGGGCTGGTCGGATTTTTTCTCGCCCTTTGGCTCGTCATTTTTGCTCAAATCAACGGGTCCTGGTGCCTTAGCCTCGTCCTCACTACTTTCAGGAACTACAACTTTCTTGGGTTTCGTCTTCCTGATGTGTATGGGGTCTGTGATTCGTCTACCGAAATCTGCTTTTAAGATGTTGTCTATGGAGAATTTCAGGTTCCCTTGGTTTTCGTTGTTGTTGGTTTTGTTTTGGTTGTAAAAGAAGTTCTCTTGTTGTTTTGGGCTTCGTGGGGATTCAGGTTCTGATAGCGATCTAGGTGATAGTAAGTTGGGTCGGAAAAGTTCATTTTTATCGAAATCCACCCCACGAAATAGGAAACTCGCCGATTCGGGTACCGATTTAGTACTAGACGGGCTTAATCTATGATTTATAGGACTAGATGATGAACACTTCCTCGCCAAATCAGGATTCAAAGTACTATTAGTTATCTGCGAAATAGCATTCAAATGGCTTTCAATATTCTTAAAACTCAACTCAGTCGACGGTGGCGGGTTCTCGTTACCGACGGATAGAACTGTATCGTCGCTGCAGCAACTGTTTTGGTCCATGTTGGTGGATTCGCGATCAAAGTTGTCACTGGAGTCCATGGACACGCTTCCGTCGGTACTCTCCATCTTCTGCCTCCCGGAAAAATGATGCGGGTGAGGTACCATGTTACCTGCTAAAGTGGCCATGGTGCACCATCGAAACTACAGCAGTGCTATCACAACACTTTCAACACAAATCACCAAAAAATTGTTTATAAATATTAGTAGAATTGAAAGAGTTCGCTTCAACGCAGTTTAATCGATCTATCCAGCACGAGCTACCACGACAATCTGATGCCGGACAGGTAAGTTGGGGCGGAGTTTCGTGCCAAGGGGGCGTGGTTGGAGGGGTGGGGTTTGAGTTAAGAGCGAATCACGGGAGTCACAGTTGAATTTTGACATGTTTTATGGGTTATTTATAGCGCGCCGGGACGAAGTGGGAGATAACGTCCGGAATCGTGCATGCACTTTTAATGCCTTTCATATTGTTTATTGTTTTGATTTAGAAGTAAAAGTATTTTTTAGGGTGATGTCTTGTTTTAATGTTTTCAATGGAATCAATTTCATCTGTTTATTTATGGTTCAATTGTGCAATTTATTCGCTAGATTGGTTTTCTCGGAATTAATTCTCTTTTGGCTTGGTGCACGGTGCTGTTTCCAGATAATGATTAATGTTGCTACCATATAGAAATCAAATTGATTGCGCTTTTTACCTACCGGCTATTTTTTGGTATTACTGCTGTTGCTTGCTTTACTTTTTATCATTTCCCGTGCTAATGGTAATTACTCATTCTTCAGGAATACATTCCACCACCAAACTACCTTCTACCATTATATCTGCAGATTGTCATCAATATTTATTATTATTATTATTACATTATGTACGAATGTCGAATTGTCCTAAAATTGTATATAGTCGTCCATATTGAACCTTACCAATTTTCCTGGTAAGCAAATTAGTTGGTCTACCTTTAAAAAATGCCAAAGAAAATTAATTCGCCTCTTGCACGCAACAGGCTTAATGAAAGATAATACAGATGATTATAAGTAGCTATTGCGGTAACAGACGAGTGGATACTCCCCTTTTAACCAATAGTCGCACACAATATTTTATTAAACTACCTCAAGAAACTTAATTTGATATTTGTTTTAACCTCACTTTTTTCATATTTTAAAATAAAGCTCATTGTTGCCCGTGAGCCAAATGCTGAAGTTAAGAAATAAACGATCAGGAAATTTATTATATCCGCTACTCTCAGCAGGGTGTTGAATAAAAATAAATATTTTTTAAACTAAAAAAGGGTTTAGCGTATCTCTTGATGCCATTGTATATTTAATTTACGATGATAGTCTGGTCATTTTTAGGTTATAACCAATATACAATAAGTTAAACCTGGTTTAAATATAATATAACTTAAACCGTTAGGAAACCAAAGTTTTAACCTATCATAATGATTGTCTTTTATCACAGATGACAAGACAGGGCAAATATTGAAAATGGGCAAGTAAAGAAATGAAAATGGCTTTAGCATACAATATCAGACCAAAGGACTTACGTCACTTTATTTAATAGAAGCGTCTTTTATTCTCTTTGTTGTAGGTAGGGATTTCAATTGCCGAATCCCTCATCCAGCAATCCAGCTGGATCCAGCGCATTTTTCAGCCTGCTGGATCAAATAATTAACTTTCCAAATAATGGCGCAAAAGTTTACGTTGACAGCGTTGCTGCTTTGCTAGGTGCGCTAACGCTCAAACATCCTCTGCGGGAGCGAACTTACTGTTCTGTCACTCCTTTCTACACCGCTCTCGCTTGATAAAGTTTCATGCTAAATAAGTGTCTTCTTGAAACCGCTGTGCCCCGGGTTGTTCGTTGTGAGAATTGTGAGTAATTTGACTAATTTATAATTTTAATTAAAAAAAAAAAACACAAAACTTGTAATAATAATTATAAAAAATAAAAAATATACCTAATTATACCTAATCTTTACGTTAATTTTGTTCAAGCTGAAGGACCCCGGTCGATGGCCTTTTGTATATTTTGTATTATATGTTCTGTATTGTACTGAATATGCAATAAAAACTTTATTTATTTTATTTATTTGTTCAAGGTTTTAAATTAAAAATCAGTTTAGAAATATTTAATTGTCCAGTAGATATAATTCATATTATGGGGTTTAACAGAGGGTAATGTACTAAAAATTTAAATACGAAATAGTGAAATATTTTTCTTTATAAAATTGTTTTAGTCCTATAAAAATAAAATTTATTATTTATTTATTTAGGCTTACATACTTATAGTAGCTAATCAGTTTTTTAACTATATTATACAGACAGTTTAAAAATTAACAAAATATGAAAATTGGTAAAATTCATGTTTTAAATTAAAAAAATATATATTAATGAAAAATTATAGTTATCAATATTAATAAATTAAATAAAATAATTTAATTCCTGTTGAATTCAATTTTATTTTATTTATTTTTTAATTTCTATAAATTTGTATAAAAAATACATATTTTAGTTTTTTTTTAAGAAAATAAAAATAATAATAAAAGTTTTGAAAGTATAACAAAAAATTCTTTAAACATTTTTTAAATTTATAAATTGCTGGATCCAGCTGGATTGATGTTGATCCAGCTGGATTAAAAAACCTTCTGGATTGCAATCCCTAGTTGTAGGATAATTTCGAGTAAAGTTTTACATTATTATTTTGTATATGTAATACAGGGTGTTATCCCTTGGAAGGATGATAGTTTACGCTAAGGTAAGCTAGTTTTTCCTCATCACTTTTGTACAAGTGCTACTGTTTTTGAATAAAAAATCACTTAAATTAGAGTAATTCTTAGGCTGGTCTCGATAAAACCACAGTTACCGATACCGATAAAACCACAGTTAAACAACTGGCCAACTCTACTTAGTCCGTCAACCCAACCGTTTAAATGTTAGATAGATCATGGTTTAAACGAATCCAGTGTCGCGTGAAACAAATGTCCATCCCCGAAGGGATGACAACTAGTTATATGACACCCTGTATAGTCAGTTTTATTTAAGTGTCATTTTTTCCTATTAGGTTTCTATTGAGCAAATTGTTTTCGAAATTAAACCATTTACAAACTTAAATTTGCGTTTTATTGGATAAGTATTGTTTAAGACAATTTTCTGGCTTGCCTATTTGCAAAATCATAGTCAGTCACCAATTTTCAAAGAGCTGTGGACTTTATACTAATTGTATCCTGTATCTCAGAAACAAAGCAAGACAGAAAAAAAATTAAAAGATGTATGTGGTGTGTTGCTAATACCTTGGATATATGTAGATAGGATAGTCGACTTTTTAAACTCGGCCATGTACAAAAACTTGCCGTATAGACTCAGATTTGTGAGCGTGGTTTAAGCACCAGAGTTTTAGATTACAATCCGTTTATTTTCATATTTGTGGTAAAAGGAACACTGCTATTGGAAATGGTCACCAGAATGCCCCAGCTAGAACAGGAAATCTATACAGCACGATTTTTCAACGGACTTTCCTGTCAAATGTATCCTTGGCTAATACATTATATGAAATATGAAATTGAACAATAGGGTTAAAAACTTTATAAATTTTATTTAATTGTAGCATTTTTTATACTTTGTTTTTTATGAATTTCTAGATTTTGTAATTTTTCGTGACATTTATATATATATATATATATATATTAGGGTGGTCCTTATTTAGGGTGTGTTCGAATTTTTTTTCACGATAGTCCTAAATAGGTTCCAAATATATAAAAAAAATAATGTGCCAAATTGCAGCACTTAATTTTAAAATTAAGCCGCCCCCCCCCGACAGCCAAAGTTTTAAATGGAAATAACATGGGAAAAATTCTGTTATTACTTTGGATTTTTTTAAGTCATGAACTAATAAACGGATTATATAGAAGGATAAATATTCTTGTAACAAATTTAACGCTCCATAAAAAAGGTTTCTTGTGATTTTTTGCTAACTTGACTGGTTCAAAAGTTATTTGAGGTCAAAATCAGTTCTAGTCAATTCCATAGTTTTTCCATTTTTATTGTGGTTTGATGATTCAAAAATGTAAAAAGGGTTATAATTTATATTCTAGATGACTTTTCTTATCTTGACGTTTGCTCTAAAAAGAAAAATATTTATTGATAAAATATTATTAAAATTTCAATGGATTCAAAAAAATACCAGATGGTAAGGCGGTCGCTTGGCATGCTAGAGGTACCGGGTTCGATACTACTAAAAGTTGTCGAACTTTTTTTATTTTTTTATTTTATAAATTTGTTGTTCCTTTGTTAAAAAGTGTTGGGTTGGGTTGGTTGGTTTGTTTTAGTTTTATCGTAACATAACAAATCTTAAAATTATGACGTCACTCGGGACTAAACTTAAGTCCCGCCTCTGGACGGGAGCCACAGCAATGTTTTTATTAAGTTTGAATTTAAAACTAGAGTTTGTCAAAATTTTTACCAATTAAAATCAAAATCTTTTAACAATACCTATGTCCAAAATATCTTGCGTATCCCAAAATTTAAAAAATCCTTAAAAGTTACGACAGTGCAAAAATAAAAAACAATTGGTGTTACCAACTTTTTAGGGTCACGATTACCCTGAAAGTTTTCTAAAAAATAGAACCATCTAAAATATAAATTAAAACCCTTTTTACATTTTTGAATCATTAAACCACGTTAAAAATGTAAAAAAAAAATAGAATTGACTAGAACTTCCATTTTGACCTCGAATAACTTTTGAACAAGTTAAGTTAGCAAATAATCACAAGAAACCTTTTTTGTAGACCGTTAAATTTGTTACAAGGATATTTATCCTTCTATATAATCCGTTTATTAGTTCATGACTTAAAAAAAATCCAAAGTAATAACAGAACTTTTCCCATGTTATTTCCATTTAAAACTTTGGCTGTCGGGGGGGGCCGGCTTAATTTTAAAATTAAGAGCTGCAATTTGGCACATTATTTTTTTTATATATTTGGAACCTATTTAGGACTATCGTGAAGAAAAATTCGAACACACCCTAAATAAGGACCACCCTAATATATATATATATATATATATATATATATATATATATATATATAAAAATATATATATATATATTTTAATTCCATTTGGCTTAAGATTAAATACAATATAATGTAATTTAATTTCATAAATAATTTATAAAATTTTTTTAAATTATTTAACTGTTTTATGGATCATTATACTTTTTAGCCCCATCTACATATAAAAAATAAATAGTTCACATTTTCACATCAATTGTGGCTATTATTTAGTCAAAAATAATTC